AGTGAACTTTTATTTCTAACCAACTCCACGCGTACGAAGTCGCGGGCGGCCGCTAGTTAGCCATAAGGTAAGAATAAACGATGGCACCAGATACTAGACACTCAGTGTATACATCTATCTCTGTGTGTCCACTGCCACGACATTTAGTTGCGGATGTAGTGGCGATGTCACTCAGTGCCCGTGTCGCCGCCGTGGAGACAGGACGTACGACAGACAACCAATACACTTGAACCGAGACACTAGATATTTACACTAATGTCGTCACAAAAACTTGCTTATCGTGCGGACGCAATCGTCGAGTGTCAGTGTATCAGATCCATTAAATAAAATTGCATAATAAATAAGGTATGGAATAACAACATAATGAAAGATACTAAGAAAAAGACTAACAACCTAAAACAGCATAATGCCACAGTGACACCAGAGCCGCTGCGGCGCTGATATTATGGCACAATGGCCTAAATATCACAATTGATTACATTAGTTTTTAGAAAGAAAATTCTAGGTTCGAGTAGTGAAACTGTGTTTACTCTGATAATTCTTAACAGGGACTGAACTTACTTTTAGAAATAGATATCTTAGGTCCACTTGCATCAATTTGCTAAATCTCGTTTTAAGTAAAACTAGAACTAACTCATAGAGGAGTGTCAAAACATCAATGTCAATTGGACATTATTGTATGCACTAAATCTAGCTTTGTTGAATTGAGTTCCAGCAAATTTGCTGCAAGCTGACCTTAAAAATACTGATAACTATGGCTGGCCAAAATATGTTGCAATACAAATTACAACATACTTCGCAAGTATTTAAAATACGTAATACAAAACATCTAAAACTAGAAGAGTATAGTAAATATAACAAAAAGTAATGAAGCGCAGCATGGGTAATGAGTAAAATCAGTGTTTCCTTTACGAAGATCAGATTTTTAAATGTGCTGTCAAACAAACAGCTGCAGTGTTGCCAACACAAACAAAACGACGTATTTATTTAGCGGTCGCCATTTTGCTTACAAAAACTATCGAGCGCTGTTTTATTCAGAATCGCCAAATAAAGGTTAAATGTATTGTATTTATGTTAAAATATATTTTGAAACGATAAGTATTTGAAATACGAATTACAAGTTACATGCTAAGCAAGTTATTGAAATAAAAATACCAAATACATATTTGAATTACAAGTAAATTAATAGTGTCCAACCCTGCCCATTATAATAACTTCACAATAATTTATAGTTTACTATTAGCATAGCATCATTACTAGCCAGGTTGTGGCTGCAGCGGCGAAAACACTGAAGGCAGTGCAATTACGCATTTACAGTGCTCGCAGTGCGCTTTTTTTTGTCGTGAGTAGCACAAGCAATATAGATTTCGCAGACACTAATGTTACAAAATAATAAAGAAAAAAATGAGTGAATCCCATGGTGAGCTATAGATAAATAAAGTTTAATTGTTATCAACTGTATTGTCGATTAGGAGAATAAACATGAAAAAATCTTTAAATACTACAGATTGAGATTGACAAACTTTCAGTGTAACATGTTTGTTTACCATGAAACCAAATGGAGAATATGTAATTTATGATCAAACGCTCTCAGCAGACTGACTTAAAATGGAGGTGTTTTGGCGCAATGCACGCGCCGCAGTACAAACAGTGTGTGCCGTAGTAGGCACCCTTACTTAATCACTAGGCCTATTCGCTAACTGCTTTTGACAGTTGAAAGTGATAATCACCGAGCTTTTTAGTAATTGACTACTGCTTTATTATAAGCGCACTAAGATACTTGTTCTAATAAGCATCGACGGATATCTTATCTTTAGTTACACACTGTAAATGTCAAAAAAAAATAGCGAATAAGTTTGAAGACAAGCCGGCCTGGCTAGTCATTGTGGCTAGGGATGCAAAGTCTTTCGAAATATCGATATTTATATCGAAGTCAGGAAAATATCGATATCCGATATATCGACCATTTTAACTCGATATTATCGATATTTTTTTCTTTTTTGCTTCGTATTAAGTTTACAAAGCAAAAACCTAAAATTAAGGAAGCAAAGGTTTCCGAAATATCGATATTTATAATGTGGGCAGGTAAATATCGATATCCGATCCGATATATCAGCCATTCCAACATTTCCAACACAATGTTTATAGATATTTTCTATATTTTTATAGCGCTGTAAGAAGTATCAAATCAAAAGCAATTTCGAATCAAAGATATTTATTTTGTTCAAAATGTTAAAACATCAGGGGAGTGCCCATGGATTCAGAATAGGGTAAGCCCAAAGCTTCCAAAATTACTATACCTATCTTACTTTCTTGACTTGGCGAGCTTAAAAAAATACGATTTGTGAAAGATTCTTAATTTTATTTTGTGTTATATTACAATTAAAGGACAATGGGCAAAATTGCATGGACACTGCACCCATGTCCGCCACGGCTTAAACTACATTTGTTTGAAAGGTATCATAGTCATGATCATTTGTGCCAAAGCGCATCAAATTCCATCCCGGGAGTCTTTAATTATTTTAAGTTAAATAGGTACAATTCCATAGGTAAAAGTAACTATAACGAACATAATATTTAAAGATACAAGGACGAGTATATAGAACGGATATATTAATTGACGACCACGGAGGTCGTCAATTAATATATCCGAGTCGAGTGGTTTGTACGCCGGGTTTCATGGTGTCGCTGGCTCGAGAGGTCCCGGGTTCGAATCCTGGTGGGGGCAGATGTTTGTGTGCTGAGTACGAGCATTTAAATTGATCCATAGATTTTTTATTAGCTCGTACGATTATAATGACGTACGCGATGATAATCGTGTTCCTATTTCTAAAGCGTGTTAGTTAAATATCAATGAAATAACAGGGAGCGCACAAAATGTAAGACATAGGACTGCATACGAGGAGACTAGTTGCAACGGCAACTGCAATATCACATCCTTCAACCCCCATACCCTGTTAGACGTTTTAAGGAGTCTCAGTAAGTGCAAGCAGCAAGCAAGCAGGATAGTCGGTAGGCTTTGTTGTTTAGTATTTTGTATCTGGTTGTACAGTAAGATATGATTCACTCACTTATTATTGCTAATATTATAAAACGAAAGTACTATTGATATTGAATGAATTTCTTTAGCTATTTAAATATCATCATCATCAGCCTATTAATGTCCCCACTGCTGGGGCACAGGCCTTCCCTATGGATGAAATAGGGAGATTGGGCCATGACCCACCACGCGGGCCCAGTGCGGATTGGCGGGTGCTAACGACTGCAGATGCAGCCGGGACCAACGGCTTAACGTGCCTTCCGAAGCACGGAGGAACTGAGATAGATGTTTTTGGTCACCCATCCAATGACCGACCACTGCGGAAGTTGCTTAACTTCAACGATCGCAACCGAACGCGCTAACCACCTGCGCCATCGAGCTTCTCTATAAGGAGCTATTTAAATATGCCCGTGTGTAACCGGTCCCCATGACTTACACACAAAGGTCGTCTATAAGGACTATGTGCGGAAACCTTAACCCCTAATATAGAACATACCCAGGTGTATATCTTTTGAACCCCAGGTTATTTTTTTTTTGTGCCATAATAAAAAAGGCTAGTTTTTCATAGATCTATCGATTCATACTAATTACATTGTTGGCGGAGCTGGGTGCGTTTTGCCCATTGTCCTTTCAATTAATCAGTAGTTGACAATTATCTAGAAAGAGACGCAAGGAATTTATTTAAGTGCATGAGTTACTATTAGGTATACGATTATACCTATATACGTTGGTGTCGATTCTGGCATGATTATCTTAACTTAAAACTAATTTTAACATCACTCTCTCCTTTTCATTCTGTATAGAGAATGACAAGGATACACTGTCAAATTTAATTTTAGGTTTAAAGAATCATGCCAGGATCCACACCAGTTTAGTATATTTCTTAGGGTTCAAGTTTTTTTTAATACAACTATAAGCTCTTGCGATTTCAAAGCAATAGTTATTTCGATATTATTCAATTTAGATAGTCAAAGCAGGTAAATTAATTGATATTATTGTGTTCATATTTAGTCTTCGAAATATCGATATTTTGGAATTTCCGATATCGATATTATCGATATCAGTGAATTTTAAATATCGATATAAATATCGACATTTTGGTCTCGATATTATCGATATTCCGATATATCGTTGCAACCCTAATTGTGGCTACCTAGTGCGATTGGTGCCTTTAAACAAAATTTGAGGTCGCCGCAACTCCAATATTATGTGATCCGACGCCAAATTTTGGCGGCAGCGACGAAGCCATCGCTTGTGGTATTTGCTATAACATACACATCTCAAAATGGCGGTGTTTTTCCGTGAGGTCAAAATGTCGCAGTGCACGCTAAGCTATTACAGGAACTAGGAACATTATAGTATAATGGTTATATCATTACAAAACATTAAGAATTATGCATAAATAAACAAATAAAAAAGCTTCATACTTTCTTATAAAACTTTTAATATAACTTAACAATAAAAACTTTAAAATAAAATTAGATCAATAAATGAAATAAAATAACACTTTATTCAAATTGACTTATTGAAAGCTCTTTTGAATTGTCATCTCTTTAGAGCACTTCTTTTTGCTGATGAGAATATTGGGCGGAAGAAACTTATCAGCATTTAACAGAAGTAACAACATTTACATAATGTCATATAGGTACCAATACATATTTAGAAATACAAAAAGAATTCAATTTCATCAACTCATATTTTGACATTTCATACAGTATAAAGACAAATAGTGTTATTTATATTAGGTATAATTAGATAACATATATAGAAAAAAAGAAAAGCTGACATTTCGATAGTAAAGTAGTATAGAGCAGACACATCTTCACTGGCAGTACCCGTTCACGAGCATGACGCATTTATTCCGCCGCCTTCAACACCATCAAAGAGATTTTTAAGAGAGCATGGACACCCAAAACCTAATTTATAGGACATTGCCAAATATGGAGGACAAATACATTACCTTTAAAAAGTTGGCATCAAGTTGAGAAGCGACGGCCCTGGCCAGCAAGGTCTTGCCAGTGCCTGGTGGACCATACAGCAGGCACCCTTTAGGCGGGGTAATGCCGACTCGGACAAACAGTTCCGGGTTCATCAGTGGCAGTTCAATGACCTGTGTAAAATTTTGTAAGCATTGAAGAGTAAGCAGCTTCATGATGCAAACAGTAAGCTAGTTGTCTTACTTCATCTCTTTCGTTTTCCTAATTTTTACCACATTGAAAAGGGGAGGACACAAAAATTAACGATACAGATAACAATAAATAAATAATGTTAATACAGCTTACTTCACAGTGTTGGTAATACAATGAATTGAGAATCACTGAAGAAACGGTTATCCATTGACAGAATTTTTATTTACTTTTTCAGGTAAATCTATTCAGAGTACTTACATACTTATAGTACTTCCATATTTAAAATGATAGTTTGTCTAAATATACTGTTATTAGTAAAAATTATAGCACTGTAAAATTCACAAGATAAAAAAAAACTTTTTGTTTTATGGTAGAAATAATAATATTCATAAAGATTCTCACTTCTCTGAGCTGTCTGATCTGTTCCTGCAGACCCCCAATGGCAGCGTATGTGACATCACCTGGGTCCTCATGGCTCATGTTGTACACCAGAGGATCAACCTTAACAAAAATATGAGCTAAATTGATATAACTGTAGTAGTATATACAAAAATCAGGCAGTTAAATTCAAATCATAAAATATTTTTAAAAAAGCATTACAAGGTTTCTTCTTACATATAAAACAAGCATGAATATTAAATGCTGATATTTATTGCAGGGACAGGCTAGAGCAGTGTTCCTTACATATTTTGCAGTCATGGATTACATGCAGAATTTAATAAGTCTGGTTCTCTACTGACTTGGCTTGTTTTTCTTTTTCATCAAGGTTCTAACCTAAAGTTACTGAGTACAAAGTACAAGTCTTTGTTACATCTTAACCTAATCTTTTTTTTTCCAGAAAATGCCTTATGCATCCTTCAACCACCGAGGGAGCGAGAAGAAGGTATTTAGCACACTTCCCTGCTCATTTCAGCCAGCTCTGAGGTTCGATGAAATGAGCAGGGCCTTACGCCTTGAACAGGGCCAGTCAAAACCAGACAATACTCCTGCACTGGTCACCCATCATGCACTTCAAGGACTGCGGTGCCTAGAGTGCAAGCGAGGAGGGTCAGTGTAGTCCTGACACCCAATTGAAGGCTGGCCATGCACCTGCACATCTTAATCTAACCTGCTTCTGCACTGTCTTACCTCTCTTGGTAAATGTCTCATAATTGTCAGGGTGGTCATATCTAGAGCAACTCTGGTGCCACCCTTCAACTTGTTCTTGTCTAGCTGTCGTCGACACCCAACAACATAACGAGGACCATTTGTAGCTTTTACAATAACTGGAAACAAAAAATAGTAATATTCCTTAGTTTCCCTTATTCATCATGGACATGAATATATTTGTACCCTTACATTGAAGTATACCTACTGTAGACTTATGATTAATATGCACTCTGAGGCGCACAGGTTACCATATACAATACTAGATGTCGATTTTGTGGCCGGTATCAGAGGGAGGATTAACCCTTTTACTGACCCTTTACGAAATCCAAGAATATCTTGGAAATTGTTGGTAAGGTAAAATTAAAATTTTGAGGTTAGAAAGTGGAGTGAGTGGAAAGGGCAGACTACCTAGCCAAGCTCTATAACATATTGTGGGTATACTCACAGGTCACTGCTACTTCAACAAACACCTTTTATAATATAGGTATTTCTGACAGCCCTCTGTGCAGAGCCTGCCTGGAGGAGGAGATGAGCTTGAGATGTTCTGCTGGAATGCAGAGGCATTGCAAGACAAAGGACTTCTCTACTGGGAAATCCACAGATACTAGTAGAGGCCTGCAGCACTAAACAGAGACTGCTGGGCTTTCTGGAGGAGCTGGGATGGCATGACTAATGCCAATCCCTATCCAAAATAGGCATTAGGTATCGAGTTGCGGAAACAGCCGGCCATACTACTAAGTACTAACCCAGTGATTTTATACTAAAGTGAAGAGAAAATTATATTTTTGTTTGGCTGTATGGTAATCTTAATCTTTACTCATAGACTTAAAAAAATGTAGCTTGTCAAAATTTAAATATGATTTTTCTGCCACAAAATTATGGTCAACCAACTCGACGTCCAGCCCAGTAATATATATTTTAGCAGATTCTTTATTTTTGCATTGTTGAAGCTATTGATCAATTTCGTAGCTCAAAATTTACTATGAAATACTTACATTTTTCTTCTGTTAATTGCTTCAGCACCTCTCCAACAATCTGACCAACACTTTGTAGGGCTTTCAGATCATTTTCACTCTTATCATATTGTTTGGTCAAGTCTTTCAACTGTTCTCTCACTGTAAAAAGGAATAAGTTCCAAAATCAGCGTAATTTAGTTTAAGAAATTATTTTTAATTACATTACATTAATTAAAATAAAAGCATGAGACTTTACGTCTTTTAATCGTGTTACAATAAGAAATACAAAAATAAGTTAGTCGTGAGTGATTCGGCATAAAATGAAGGGACATGCAGCAAACATGATTCTTACTGTCTTTCAGCCTGGATTCAACTTCTTTGTGCTCCATCAACTTCTTTCTATAATCTTGAAACGCTTTTTCTCTTAGAGAATCCGTAGCAGAACCTCCCGCAGGCATCTTCTAACAATAAAATTTATTATTTCTTACTCAACAAAATTGTGAACGAAAAGCGAAACTCACTCTCGCAGTCTCGCATTTGACATTGACATTTAGCTATCATTTTTAATTTTGCTCTTGGTAAGCAAAGTATTTTGGAACATACGGTTTAATTTTCACATTCTAAATAATTATTGTTATATAAATTACTTGGTCGAGTTTAATCTTTTGTCAATAATCTGGTCATACCAGAAAAAACTTGATCTGGCAGCCCTTTTAAGACGTCATTCCTAAATGTCATGTTAGCCGGAACATTTTTTTATTTTTTTTGTTTGTTAAAATTGGAGTCGGAGAAGTTCTTTATTAAATAATTAGTTATAATAAATCTACAAAATAACAAATGGAGTCCGTTCTTAAGAAAAAGAGCAGTGTTATGAAGATAGCGAACCTCAACGAGTGAGTTGCAATTAATTTCTTGATACTAGTTTGTATTTGTATTGCTATTTTTTATTTACATTTCAACAGTTACATTCAATGGTGCCAATTCTGGCGTGATTCTCTAAACTTAAATCTAAATTTAACATCAGTCCCTCCTTTTCATTCTGTATAGAGAATGACAAGGATATACTGCTGTCAAATTTAAGTTTAGGTTTAGAGAATCATGCTAGAATCGACACCAATATATACTTAAAATTCAAAATTTTGTTTTTACATGAAGTAAGATAAAAAACTATTGTTTTGATTGTGGACGAACATTAGTTTCCTTGCATTTATTTTATTAAAACTAAGTTCATAAAACATATTAATTTGTAGTAGTAGGTAATTAATTATATTCCCAACATTTTTGCATTACACTAATTGAAAAATTGTTTTCTTATAGGTACTTTATCTACAGATGATCATATAATAATAGGAAATACTTTTCAATGTTGACCATATATGAGAAAGAAATGAGGTTAAGTATGAAGGATATTGAAAATGTAGGAGAGGTTTATTATCAAGAAGAGAGGAAAGAAAAGAAAATTAACGGGGACATTTAATTAAAGGAATTAAACTTTTGGGTTTGGATATATTTCAGTGAAATGACAGTGGTTTTAAAATGTTGAATAAAAACTCATTTTTTATTTTATAGACATAATTGTAAAATAAAAATCATCTAAATCATTCACGGATATATGTATGAATAACATTATTACGATTTTTGGCAAAAAAGTTTTTTTTTTAAACTTTTATAAGCTAAAAATTCAAATATCGACTAACTATGTATGGCTTGCTATTAGCAATTATTATTTGCTCCTAGCTGGAATGCAATATCAGTTTAAATTTTCTTAAAATAACGAAACAGAATATATGTACTGTACTGTACTAATTCAAGAGTTTCGTCGTTTCGTCTCCCAAAGTACTCAACAGATCTTCACCTAATTAATATGGGACTATCTTGACAAAAAACTTACTATATACGATTTAAACAAAAAACCTGGCCAAGTGCGAGTCTAGTATGTGAAGTAACCCTGTTATTGAAGCTCCCTAATATCACTGAGTTATGAAATGGTTCGTTTCTGAGCTCTAGCGATATCTAAATCGTAGTTCGCAATATACCGCGAAAGGAAAAATCATTTGTTTTTTTTTCACAACTTACAAAGTACGTTATGAATCGGTTTTCAGTATTTGTTGTTTAAAAACAGATTTTGAAATTGAAGTTTTGGTATGTGATGTGCATATGGCATAAACCAAACTTTCACAATCTTAACTAGTTTCTATTTTGAGATAGACCACGTAGCAAAAAATTGTTTAAAAATGCAAACTTTCACGATTACGGCTATCCTTTTCTAAGGACGCTTGTATCTCTGCAGGAACAGTTCAGTTGAACTTTCAAATGTGAACTGGCATTCCGATATTATATTCCGAAGCTCATTCCGATATATAACAATATTCATATCCTACTCAACAAGCCATAGATAATGTATCACTGTATAAGACCCCCAATTAAAAAAGATAGAAATTGAATTTTGAACTAATTATATATATACAGGATGGTCCAATTAGTGACGTTAACAATTTTTTTTAGATGACTCGCACCTGGTTGTATTGGAAAATACCCCATGTATGCTCACATTTTGAATCTTAGTGGTGAAACCGAAATTATTATAAAATTCCACATGCTAAAGTTATTTTACAGGAATTTCAATAAAATTTTTTTTGAAATTATATTTTTAAGTTTAATTTACCATAACAATGATAAAAAGCAGATAAAATAATTTTTAATGCTTTAACCGTGTTTTAATATTTTTTAGCTTTTCCGCCTTCGAAGGCCAATTACAATAAAAATAAACCGAAAAGTACAATTTTTTATGACCTTTGGTTGTTTCGAAGCGCATGCTTCTAAACTATCAAAGGTCAAAATCAAAAAAAAACAAAAGCTCCGCATGGAGTTTTTGATTTTAGCCAGAAGCTATTGAAACTACTTTTCGTATTTTGAAATTGAAGTTGAATGTTTGAGTAAATCCTACTAAAAACTAAAGTTCCTCAAGCCTTTTTTGAGAAACCTCGCTGGAAGAAATCATTAAAAATACACAAAAAAAATATAACTCGAAAGGTGATAAGGGTGCTAAATGAAGACTTAGGGCTTCGGGCATATCGAAGAAAAACAGGACATCGTTTGAATGCTCGTCTAATAGACCTGAGACTGAAGAGATGCCGCGCTTTGTTGAAGCGATACGCGGGAAAAAAAAATATAGGGAAATATCTTTTTTCGGATGAAAAAATTTTTACTGTAGAAGAGAGCTACAACAAGCAAAATGATAAGGTGTACGCACACAGTAGTGAAGAAGCGAGCAACCGTATTCCGCGTGTCCAACGAGGTCATTTTCTATCCTCGCTCTTGGTATGGTTGGAAGTTTCTTATTGGGGTTTCTTTAACAGAGGTACATTTTTGTGAGAAAGGTGTAAAAACGAATGCAGTTGTGTATCAAAATACAGTCCTGACGAACCTTGTGGAACCTGTTTCTCATACCATGTTCAAAAACAGGCACTGGGTATTCCAACAAGATTCGGCGCCAGCTCATAGAGCGAAGAGCACACAAGACTGGCTGGCGGCGCGTGAAATCGACTTCATCCGGCACCAAGACTGGCCCTCCTCCAGTCCAGATTTGAGTCCGTTAGATTACAAGACAACACTAGGAAGAAAAGGCGTGCTGAAAACCTCATCCCATTTTGGAGTCACTCAAGACATCCTTGATTAAGGCAGCCGATATTGACATGGACCTCGCTCATGCTGCGATAGACAACTGACCGCGCAGATTGAAGGCCTTATTCAAAATCACGGAGGTCATTTTGAATACTTGTTTCAATTATTATATATATATATATATCCGACATATACATATATATATATATATATATATATATATATATATATATATATATATATATATATATGTCGGATGGGCGAGCGGGATAGGCGGTTGGCCACGTGGTTTTTCTTGATCCGCCATCTTGGTTATTCAATGATATTTCCCGAAAATAAAACTGTAGTCTAGTGACCAAGCTAACGTTTAATTTGAATCTTCTTATTACTTTACAAAATCAATTATGATTGCCAAGGTACAAACGGATTGCTTTGTGAAGCGCGGAGAGTTCTCTGCTAACGTCCGTTCACTATCGCGGCTCACGTCTGAATGCCGAATGCCGAATGCCCCTTCCAAGCGGGATTCTTCCACTTTGTGGTGGGTTCGGGTTCGAAGTTCTGTTCATTCCCCGGGCTGCTTCTCACGGGGGTGCGCCCCCGCGGGGTTGGGTACCGCTGTTCAGCGGCCGTCGTTGGCGACGAGCCGTTTGTTCTTGCCCCTTTGTGCCCGCTTTCGCCAGGAGGCTTACTACGCAGCCCTCAGCGCGGTCAGCCAAGCCGGGTGAGACCCCATGAGGGGAGGCCCAGCTAGCGCCAGCGAGCAGGCTGCGATTTAGGCAAGCGGGGGTATGCGGGGGCTGTTAGCTGGGTGGTGGAAAGATGGGAGTCTGGATAGTTGGTGGGTGGGACGTGGATGGTGGCGAGAGCAAGCTACGTGGTGTCGGGCGCGGCGGACGGCGCGACGCCCGTCCGCGGCGAGTGGAACCTGGTGAGAAAGCAGAGTTAGTAGCGCCGCCGGGTGGAAGAGGTGCAATATTTTGTAGATGGTGGTGCGAGCCGCTGTAGGCGCGGGAGAACATGCCCCGAGAAAGGCGGGCCACAAAGGAATCGATGGCCTCTACTCTGAGTTCGCGGGAAATGAGATCATTGCGATCGTGGCGTCTCGCCCGGGTGATGATGCGGAGCGCGACGTTCTGTTGTTGTTGGAGTCGCTGCCTCAGGGTCTGTGAACAGAGAGAGTACCAAGCTGGGGCGGCATAGGTTAAGATAGGCCGCACGTAGATTTTGTAGATGCCCACTTTTGTTTTGAGGGGCAATCGGGATGCCAGAATGGGCCGGAGTGCAGCTCTAACTCCTCGGCTCTTGGTGATGGCCGCTTCTATTTGGGCGGCCATGGAAAGCTGATGGTCGATGGATACGCCCAGATACTTGATTTTTCTTGCCCATTCGATCTTTTTCTTCCCCAGGGCAAGTTTGGGCGGGAACTTTTTCTTGTTTGAGGTGCAGATGGCCGTTGTTTTTTCCACATTGACGGCCACTCTCCAGTCTGCCATCCACCTCGGGAGTTTGTTTAACTGGCGCTGCATTCTTTTTGACGCCGCCTGTGCCCATACTGCTGAAGTGAAAAATGCGCTATCGTCGGCGAACAGGGCCAACTCGACCCTCGGTTCCCACTCCGCCAACTCCTCGTTCAGCAGTGGCATGTCGTTGGTATACACGTTATACAGCATGGGCGAGAGTACGCTTCCTTGTGGTACCCCAGCTGTTATTTGGCGGATATTCGAATCTGTACTCTCGACCGACACGTAAAAAGAGCGGTTTGTGAGGTATGAGGAAATTAGGTGAATCATCGCCAGATGGATTTCTTCTTGTTTCAGCTTGTATATGAGACCGGGGTGCCAGACCCGGTCGAAAGCTTTCTCAATGTCAAGGAACACTGCCACCGTACAGTGTCCCTTGTTTTTGGCCTCTGTTAGG